AAGTAATGAAAAAGTCTTACCTCATGGGTTTCTTTGCTAGCAAATAACTCAACAACTGAATGTATGTATGCAAGTCTGGGGAAAACTTCCAGTAACTACAATGTCTGTATAACTTTGGACATATTAACCCTTTACCTCAGTCTTTGCCATTTGCAACCTGAATATAATGATACATTATTTGTTTTTTTAATTTTAGTTATTTATTTTTTTGGTGAGAGGGGAAGGGAGGGAGAAAGAAAGGGAAACACTGATGTGTGAGAGAAACTTTGATTGGTTGCCTCTCTCACACCCCTGACTGGAACCTGGCCCACAGTCCAGATACCTGCCCTGACCAGGAATCGAACTACTGACCTTTCAGTGTGCAGGATAACACTCAACCCACTGAGCCATACCAGTCAGGGCTGATGCATTACTTCTTACCTGCTCATATCCTAGATTAGAGCAAACACATCTGTACAGTGGAATACTGGACTATACCAGCTAAAGGAGCCATAGTTTATACTTGTTTGGATCGCAGCACTAAAGTTTTCCTATTGGGTCAGGTCTTTTGAGAAGAAGTCACTATGATGTGTGAAGTATTTATTTGAGAAAGGAGCCGATGAGGTTAGGGAGAGCTGCTTTGAGATCACAGGGCAGTACACAGCCTACACAGGAAGAGAGAGAAGGAGGAAGCATTGAATTGAAAGAATTCTAGACAGCAGCTCAATTGCAAGAAATATCCATCCAGGCTAATGGGGAGCCCTGAAGCCAGAGCTTCCCACTAGAGGAGTTCCCTGTCTCACTGGAAGGTGCCCACCTCAGTTCCACTCTCGTGCTTAGTCACCAGCTGAGAGTGGACTAAGAAAAATGGGGCCTTTGGGGTATCAAGTACAGAGGGATGAAAAGAGGACATCTATATTCATCATCTGATAAAAAAATCACTATTTTCAACTTTGTCCTTACTGAATCTGCTCTAAACTAGATTTATGCCCCCTAGTCTATCAACATGTTCTATTATGCTAGCCAATTTCTGTCTTCTATTCCATTGCCAGTCCTGGACATATCAGTCAGCTATTTCAACTATGTCTCATTGAATTAGGTTTCCCTTCATCGTCTCCTGGGAACACCCACTGATTCTAGGCTCTGAGTAACTCTAAGAATTTCCTTTCTTTTTCTAAGTTCTTGCTATGCTCAAGGTTTCGGGAGACTGTCATGTAACTCTTTTCATTTGGGATCACAAGAAAGTAATCCAAACTCATTAAGATAACTGATTTTGGACTTAGATATAAGTGGAACTCCAGTCCTGGCTCCATAATATACTACCTGTATTAATTTGGGTAAATTATACAACCTTTTAAGCTTTATCTGAGAAGCAAAGATAGTGGTATTTTTCTTACAATAATGTGAATCTGGCATGTAGAAGTTACTTAATGAATGACAGGTATATCATTAATAATTTTAGTTAAGACTTAGGACTTTTCTGCACATTTCCACATTTTTTGATTCTTTATTACATTCTTACCAGAGTTCAAACCTAGCTCCACTCTTTTCATCTCACACAATCTTGGGACTGCCTCTCCTACATTACTGGGATTCAGCATTTATTGAGAACCTACTATGTTCCAGGAACTGTTTTTCACAATAGGTTTATAGTGGTGCGTCAAACAGACCAGGACCACTTATACTTTTCACTCATTGACCTGCAGGACTCTGCAAAGACCACTCCTGCCACACCAGGCAAATGCTTCCTGTTGACCTTTCCTTATGGAATCCCACACATCCTTAAAGGTCCGACACAGATGTGCCATCTGTTTTTTGATCCTCTTTGACATGCATCCCTTCAGACATAATAAGCTTTCTTATTTTCCTAAACACAGTGGAATACTTTTATTTATTTATTTATTTGCAATTCAACTTATACTATGTTGTGTCTTCTCATCTCACTTGTTTTTTTTTTTTTTTTTTTTTTGTGAGGTTTTGAGGTCCTGGAGGACACAGGCTTGTGGCATACATATTTATATTCTACAGGATACTTAGCACACTGCCTTACTCAATAAGCATATGCTAAAGGAATAAATTAGTCACAATCTCCCTCTCTTCAGAAGTGATTACTTATCACTAAGGTACACCAATAAAGTAATAAACTGTATATCCTGGTTGAGTAGTCTCCAAGAATACAAAGTAATTGCTATACATGCAACTAATTTCTCTTTCTCTCTCACCTAGTTATTCCATTAAAGGAGCCACATTTCTGAGCCAGACGTAGGAAATGGGGGTTCCAAGTCATGAGGACACAGTCCTTTCTCTTAGAGACTGATTACAATGTTAATTAATATAAACTTTAGCTAGGAACTTACATGAAAAAGATACTCCAAGTTGAAATATAATCATGGGTTTTTTGTAAGGAAGTCTCAAAATTATTAAAATCTTGTAGAAATAGTTTATTTACTTCTCATAAAGTTGTTGAGGCTGCCTAACACTAAGTTTGTTTGATTGGGGCTGGAATTTTGAATCATAAGTGAGTATAAGTTACAATATTGTAAATAATATTACTTGGTGAAAGATGTTCTAAAAATGTGATGAAAAGGGATTTAGTGTTTTCTTTTTTTTTTGAAGATTTATAATGAGCTATGCCCACATTAAGAGGTGTGATTCTTGCTATAAGTCCTGCATATTAGGTGCCATGTATATGTTGGCTGAATAGTGACAGTTGAGAGTCTGTCTGTGAAGTTTTATGAAATAAGGATTTTTAAAATGTAGCTTTGGAAAGAAAAGGCTAGTTAAATATAGAAGAGTGCATGCTACTCGGGAGAATTTAAAATGTTCAAGTGGGCAACACGAGCATATTTCTAGGAAGTTAATTTAATTATACAATATAATAATAATAGGGAATTCAGTGATATATAAATTTTACATATTGATTATATTTCTAGGTTTTATTTCCTGTTAGCACTCTGCTCCAGCTCAGCTAAGACAAGAAAACCGGCACATTCATTATGATTAGAAAGGACTCTCTTGCCATTAGACCATGCTAAATTGATAGTTTTTATAGCCCGACAAGAGACCAAGTCATCGTTACCTGAAGGGAAATACTTAAATCATCCGAAGATGGTCATTCTGTTCTGAAGGAAAGTGTGAGATAACTGCTTGAGATCTAAGTCTTACAGCAAGGGGTAGTTTTGCCGCAGAACTGACAGTTTCCACCCTCGGGGTGGGTGTATTAGTTGGGAAATGTATAGGAAGAGGGCTTGTGAAGGAAAATTCAAAGAGTGAGACTGATGAGTTCTAAAGGAAATTCTAATCTGGTCCCCCGATTGAATCATAAATGTTTATATTTTAGGGACCTATACAAATGCAGAAGTTACAAAGGAAGAAGCAAAAGAGCAGAGTGGCAAATGTGGTAGAAAAATATATCAGAAGAGGTACAAAACTCTATGGCTGGTCCAGCTTATCATTTGTCCAGTTGTGAACAAAATACTAATTCTGGGAGCAATTTTGATGATGAGTTTTTATTGCAATATTTCTTTAATGATTCTTCATGGAACCTGAGAATTGTATTTCATTAAAATTCCATAATTCTAGGAAACACTTTTAGTAACAATGGAAAATCCTTATTGCATTTGGGACTGGCTGCCACAGTTCAGTTCAGGATGAGTCTATATGTGGTTTTATATGATTCTCTTAGAGAAAAGGCACCATAGCAGGGATAGATGGTGATAGACAGAGACTTTACGTGGGGTGGTTAACATACAATACAATGCACAGATGATGTGTTGGAGAATTGCGCACCTAAAGCCTGTGTAATTTTGTTATCCAGTGTCAGCCCAAGAGATTCAATTTTAAAAAATCTGGTAAAAAAGTCAGTTACTGGAAAGTGTGAATTTGTAATGAGAATGAATTTAATATGTGAATTATGAAAGGATTTCCCTCCCAACCAGCCTATTATTTATATTTAAACTTTTGCTACTTATAATCCTCTGTGCTGTAGTTAAAACAATTTTGTGCAGCTTAAAAATATCTTTTTTAAAGTTTATTTATATTTTGCATACAAATTTGGAATCATCCAGGCTTAACTATCATTACTCGGAATGTTTCATATTGATTACATGTCTCCCTCTTTTTGCACTGATATTGTTCTACAATATTATAATAATTGCTCTCAAGGTGAGGTAGACTCCTAAATTAGTATTTTTCTCTATTACTCTAAATATTTATATCGATCACATGTTTTACTTGTGCATGGGTATATGGCTACAGCCAGTCTCTAAAAGAAAAAGACAGAAAATAAAATTATTAGTTCAATATAATACTGATAGCTAGCTCTCGTGATTACTATTTTTCAGACCATGTTTTAAGTACTTTGAATTTATTAATTCATTTAAGCTTCAGAATAACAGTATTAAATTGGGATTGTTATTGCCTACATTTTACGAGTGAGAAAAGTGAGTAACAGGTTAAATATTTTTTTTTCCCTAAGTAAACATAGACAGAAGGTGGCAGAGCCAGGATTGGAAGCCAAGCAGTCTGACTGCTTGGTCTGTGTCCTCTCCACTTTTGTAGCTAAATTCTTCTTGGTTAAGCCAGGATTAGAGTAAGTAGCTATGTTACTCCAACGCTGTATTTTAATATAATTATTTATTAACATGGGCAGTCTCCCATACTAGATTGTGAATTTGTAAGTACAAGAACCATGTTTTATTAACTCTGTCATATATAGTGCTTAATAAAATTTTTATTACTCCTGAATTACAGCTTATTATTGCCTTGAGATATTCTGTCCAACAGATTTCTGTTTTGAAGTCATTGGTTTTAGATTGAAAAAATGAAAAAAAAGTGCAGTTGTCACCTGTCAGAAGAATATTGTATTCATGATTTTTCTATTTCTTAACTGTGTTTAAGAATGAAATAGCTTGAATGAATCAAACTATTTTTTTTATTGATATAGGATAATTTTAGAGTCATGTTATTTGGTGGAAAGTCTTTTCTTTCATTATTTTAAGGAAAATACTCTTTTTCTACAGGGTGCTGCTTTAATTAGAATGCTGGCTAATTTTATGGGCCATTCAGTGTTTCAGAGGGGTTTGCAGGTAAGTAATATGCTTCCTATTTTCTCTTACCTTTTTCCTTGTCCTTATATTTATTTTAAAGATTTTTCACAGCTTGGAAAACTAATACAAAATTACTGAATTTGATGGAAAACTTTATGATCAGTATGATAAGCAATATCTTTCGCTATGACAAATGAAAAAGGTAAGATACTCACTGTACCTACTGATAAAACACAAACTTTTATACTATTTAAAATCTCTTTAATACAAAATTTTAAAATTGAAGTAATCTTCAGATCTATCAGATCATAAATAATCTACAAAATATTTTTTGAATCAACTTCCCTTTTCTCCCATTTAACATTTTATATAAAGTGAAAACAAATTATGTTAACCTTGCTAAAATATGTATTTGAGAAAATCTTAATGCCTTTTTTTCAGATATGTGCCTTTTATGCTGTTGTTTTATTGTTGATATACATAGTTCGTTATTTGTTGCAAAGCTATTTAAATGTTTTTAAATTAGAAAATGCAATATTTTAAATAAAGGAGAAAAGGAAACAGTTTTATCATATATATTTAGAGTGTGAAATATGGAATCTAAGAGAGCACTCTTAGAAAAGAAGGATTGTTACCTCTTGAAAGCAAACACAAATACAGAAAAATAGAACTTTTATTCCATTGCATCTGTTGAAGTAAATCATGTTCCGAGCAGCTGTGATTGATGAATTATTTATGATGCATTCTGCTACTTAGAAGTGTCCTTTAAAGTAAATTGATGTTCACCTGAAATACAATTATGCTAAGACAGAGAGAGCAATCAATCTTATCTGTTCTTACTAAGCTTTTCATTTTGAAATTTAAATAAACTACATATAGGATCAGGTCATATTTTAGTAGTATAATTCTATCTTTACTCAAATTAAACTAAAAAATAACATACAAAGCAAGAGTTAAATATGTTATGACAAAGCTATATTTACTTAACACAACAAAGAAAAATACAAATTTCTTGAAGAATAATTTTTCTTAGAAAATATTTTTTACAGCTTTGTTCCAGCAGAGGTTGTAATTTACTTTCATCAGCTCTCTCTATCAGGGACACCTTCAGAATAACTGAGTTCCATTGAACCTGTTGGTGCTAAAGTCTCTATTCTGATCACAGAGTTGGGGAAATCTTTTTTCCCAAGGAGTGACCTCGATGAATATCAACTTTCTGCAGGAATGTCCTTTCTTATCCTCACTCCTTTGTTTTTATCCATGAAGTTACAGCATAACAGTTCCTGAAAATACCTATGTTTTCATAAGGGCAATGCAAATTAAATTTGATTTCCTGGTAGCAAGTGGATGTGAAATAATTTTCTATATACAAGTTTTATTATTTTTTCTCATCTGTGTGTATAGATTTGCTGGGCAGATTGAATAACTATACATATATTACTTGGAAAGGATTATTGTTTTGCAACATTTTTCTTTATCCTGTCTTGCTTTCTCTGGTATGCAAAATATATCAAATTTTAATTCACCCAATTCTACTGACCCAGTCTGTTCAGTTTTATCTGAAACAGACTATTCACCCTCTGTGTCCCATATATAAACTTTCATTTGAAGCTTGTGTTAATGTGTGCCTTTATGTTCTGATACTTGATTTAGTTAATTTTCAACTGAGGGACTGTATGCTTGTCAACATTGCATTTCATTTGCCTTGTGACATCTCATTGATCAGATAGATCTGTATCCTTCAGTACTTCCTTGCAGCTTTATTTATACTCATCACTCAAACTGATTTAGTGTATCATCAGCAGTTTGGATTAGTTTACAGTAGCTCCCTATGTCTAGGTGATAAATTATCATCTCTTGTGCATGAAGATGTATGGGATACATTTTGAAAATGACCTCCTGAACAGACACTTTATGTCATGGTACTGAGTGGTCACTGAGTTGATATTAATATATTTCACATCCACAAGGCTCTAGGGAGTCTTGGTTTTATAGTCTTGTTGAAAGAGCTAATCTGGAGTGTCAGTGCTTACCTCTGCTGGAAAATCTATTAATTGTTTTTATATTAACCATGGCTATTTCTATGTTGACGAATGGAAGTTTATATTTGCAGACTAACTCAGGGTTAGACTTACAGGTGTAGGCAATCCTTAATTGCAAACATTATGTTTTTAATATTTATTTCCCCTGTTCTTTCTTCCTCCTTCTTGCCCTCTTTCCTTCCTTTCTTTTCCTTTATACCTACTCCTCCCCATCATGTTTCTCCTCCTTACATCACCTTCTCTCCTTTTTCCCTTTCTCCTTCCCTTCTTCTTCTCCTTCATACTTGGTCTTTAGCCCTAATGTTCTATCTAGGAACAATAATAAATGTGGGTTCTTCTAAAATTTGGATTATCTTACATTTTTTATGTATTTTTTGACTCAGGTTCTTTTGGAAACATATATCCCTCAGGAGGAAGGGACTCAAAGACTTTCTGAAAAGGTTTTGCTCCTAGTACTCACATAACCCACTGAGTCAGTAATTAGAAAGTCTAGAAAACAGTTTCATACTGAATAATTGCAACTTTCCTTAGTCCGGTCTTCTTGATACATTTTCATCTAATCCCCCCTTACTTCTTAAATAGTTCCCCTTAAGTCTTGCATAGTTCGCCTTAAGATCAGGAACTAGACAGGGTTGTCTGCTTTCAACCCTCTTATTCAAAATAGTACTAGAAGTCCTAGACACAGCAATCAAACAAGAAGAAGAAATAAAAGGTATCCAAATTGGAAAGGGAGAAATAAAACTGTCATTATTTGCAGGTGACATGATACTGTACATTGAGAACCCCAAAGATTCCACCAAGAAACTACTAGAACTGATAAATAAATCCAGCAAAATAGCAGGATACAAAATTAATATCCAGAACTCAGTTGTATTTTTATACACCAATAGTCAACTAAAAGAAAGGGAAGTTAAGAAAACAATCCCCTTTACGATTGCTACAAAAAGAAAAAAAAATCTAAGAATAAACCTAACCAAGGGTGCAAAAGACCTATACTTGAAAAATTATAAGACACTGAAGAAAGAAATTGAAGAATATACAAATAGGTGGAAGCACATACTGTATTCATGGATGGGAAGAATTAACATCATTTAAGTGTACATATTACCCAAAGCAATCTATAAATTCAATGCAATTCCTATCAATATTCCAATGAAATATTTCACAAAACTAGAACAAATATTTCAAAAATTCATATGGAACCACAAAAGGCCCTGCATAACAACAGTGGTCTTGAGAAAGAAGAATGAATTGGAGGAATCCCATTACCTAATATCAAACTATACCATAAGGCCATACTCATCAAAAGAGCATGGTACTGGCATAAAAACACACACATAGATCAATGGAACAGAATAAAGAGCCCAGAAATAAATCCACACCTTTATAGTCAATTAATATTTAACAGAGGGAGCAAGCACATACAATGGTCTAAAGATAGTTTATTCAGTAAATGGTGTGGGGAAATTGGACAGATACATGCAAAAAATGACACTAGACCATCTTCTTACACCACACACAAGAATAAATTCAAAATGGATTAAAGGCTTAAATACTAGACGTGAAACCATAAAAATTGTAGAAGAAAACATAGGCAGCAAAATCTCAGACATTGCTTGTAGCTACCCATTATTTGATATATATCCCCAACAGGGGAATAAAAAGAAAAATAAAGAAGTGAGACTACATCAAACTAAAATGTTTTGCATAGCAAAGGAAATCATCAACCAAAGAAAATGACAACCCACAGAATGGGAGAACAAATTCACTGATACATCTGGTAAGAGGTTAATACCCAAAATTTATAAAGAACTTACAAAACTGAACACCAAAAAAAACCCAATTAAAAAATGGGCAAAAGATAGGCACTTCTCCAAAGAGAACATACAGATGACCAAAAGGCATATGAAAAGATGCTCAATGTCACTAATCATTAGAGAAATGCAAATTAAAACAACAATGAAATATCATCTCACACTTCTCAGAATGGCTATCACCAATAAATCAACAAACAACAAGTGCTGGTGAGGATGTAGAGAAAGGGGAACCCTATTGCACTGTTGGTGGAATGCATACTGGGGCAGCCACTGTGGAAAGCAGTATGGAGATACCTCAAAAAATTAAAAATGGATCTGCCTTTTGACCCAGTTATCCCACTTCTGGGAATATATCCAAAGGAACCCCAAACGCTAATTCGAAAAAACATGCACCCCGATGTTCATTGCAGTGTTATTTATAATTGCCAAGATATGGAAGCAGCCCAAGTGTCCATTAGATGAATGGATAAAACAACTATGGGACATTTGCACAATGGAATACTTGGCCATAAAAAAGAGAAGATAATTTTACCCTTTGCAACAATATGGATGGACCTGGAGAACATTTTGTTAAGTGGAATAAGCCAGTCAAAGAAAGACAAGTACCATGTGATTTCAGTTATATGTGAAATCTAATGAACAAATTGAGCTAACAAGCAAAACAGAGACAGACTCATAGGTGGAGAGCAGATGACTTCTAGAGTTGGTAGGGGCAAATTAGGATGTGGAGGGATTGAGCAAAGAGGAAAAAAGACTCCTGGACATGGACAACAGTGTGGTGATTCTGAGGGTGGGTATAAGGGAACAAAATGGTAATGGAAAAAATACAATAAAGACTAAATCACAGGAATTAAAATGGTGGAGGACAGTGGAAGTCACACTGACATCCTCCCAGGACCAAACTGGAATTACAATTAAATTGTGGAGAAATCACCTGGAACAAACAATTGAACAATAGCAGGAGGGGAGCTTTATAACCTCACAGAAAAATCAGCTTTAGCACAATCTAACTTGTAAGGAGTGTGATAGAGACTCAAGAAGGTGGGCTGGGCATCCATGGAGGATATTGAAACAGGAGGATATTGAAACAGCCAGTTGGATCCCCCTGAGAAGAGTGGGGTCTACACCAAAAGTGGGGATCTCCAGCCTACAGCACCACAACCCAAAAAGTACACAGAAA